ATATAAATCGGTAATTATCTAGTTAGTGTGCGCATCATGGATGGTTTCTTATAAAGAATTCCGAGTAAAAAACATACCACTGTGCTTGGAAAGCGTAAAGATGTAACATGCGGTATTTATGATGTATAGTAGATCATTTATGACTGTCTATGGTATTTTAAATATCGGTTTGATTTGAATCGGTTCGATTCGAACACTCTGTTGTTAATTGTTATTTATCTGTGATGTGTACAAATTGCAACTTATTTTTAAGTTTTCGTATGGTTTGAAAACAGGTATAATGCTTAGAATAAACTTAGCTTCCGGGTGACTCAGTTATTTTACAGCCACAGCATTGATATCTTATTTATCAAAAATTAATAAAACAGACACATAATAAGAAATCACAAAATTCAATAACATCAGTATGTTTTGATTTCTCTTTGCTGAAATAAAAAACCATGACCCAATTACAATCAGTCGGCGTTGCGGTAAAACAAAAACACTTGACTTCACAACAGAACAACCGTTGTATCTAACATGTGAATCGTAGCGTAGTCGGTGCGTACATTTGCATATAAATGTAGTCGCGGATATTGTTTTTGTAGCGCCATTGTTCTTGTTATGATTGCGGTGAACATTCTCTTTCGATTGTCATTAAACTTTAGAACCCTAGTTGTCAATTGTCAACGTCAACGACATTGTAGCAAAGAATGCGTTCTATTAGATTAGGATTTTCCTAATTTTATTTTTATTTTACTGGATTTTTTAATGTATATAGCGACAATGAATACAAAACACAAGAATGTTGGGTCATTCTTTCGAATAAGAATAAAAAGAAATTAATCTTTTTAGTTAAAAGTATTCTAAAATCCACTTGAAACACAAATTGCATCAAAATCGGTCCAGCTGTTCAGGAGGAGTTTAATTAAAACACATGCGCAGAATATTTATATATATTTATACAGATAGTAGGTCCAATATTGTAAAAAGATCGAGATTTCTATAGTGATACTCTTTGATAACAAAAATAATTTTATTATACTTGCGTTACAGATAATATTTAATAACATATTATAAGATCTTATATTTAGAGATTGTGTAATAGATCCGTTGAAGTATTATACTATATTATAATAGTATATGTAATTAGTATATCAGTCTTGAATTCGTACATACCACTGATAAGAGAATTTACATTAATTAACAAACTTATCTTACATTCTGAACACACCAAATTTACTCTCTTTAAATGGCGCATTTAATGCCGCAGATAAACTAAGTCCTATAACCTTTCTTGTATCCCTCGGAGCGAGGATTCCATCGTCCCATATTCTGGCGGTACTAAAGTATGGCTTTCCTTCCATTTCGAACTGATTTTCTAAAGGTGCTCTAACTTTCCTGTCATCTTCTTCAGTCCATACCTTGCCCGACCTCTCTGCTTTATCTTTAGATACTAAAGACAACACAGTCGCCGCCTGAGGACCACCCATCACCGAAATTCTCGCATTTGGCCACATATATAAGAAACTCGGCGAATAAGCGCGACCGCACATACCATAATTCCCTGCCCCGAAACTGCCTCCAACAAGAACAGTTATTTTAGGGCCCTTGAAACAACTCACGGCGGTCACCATTTTCGCACCATTCTTAGCAATGCCACCAGCCTCCGCCTCCCTTCCCACCATAAAACCGGTTATATTCTGAAGGAATAGCAACGGTATTTTACGTGCCGCGCAAAGCTGAATGAAATGTGAGCCTTTCAAAGCAGCTTCCGATTGCAATACACCATTATTTCCTATTACACCAACTGGATGCCCATAAATAGAAGCGAAGCCGCATACTAAAGTCTCTCCATAGAGTTGTTTGAATTCGTGGAATCTACTGCCGTCAACAACACGAGCTATAACTTCTCGGATGTCAAAAGGTCGTTGTATATTTGCTCCTACAATGCCGTGCAGATCGTCGATATCGTGAATGGGTTCATCGACATTCGTAGGATATATCCTTGCTTTTTGATCATTGTTCCAGTTTAAATTTGCGACTACATTCCTTGCTAAACATAAAGAATGTTCATCGTCCAATGCGAAGTGATCTGTGACTCCCGACTGCCGACAGTGCAGGTCAGCGCCACCTAAGTCTTCAGATGACACGGTCTCTCCTGTCGCTGCTTTGACTAATGGTGGGCCAGCTAAGAAAATAGTTCCCTGTTCTTTAATAATTATACTCTCATCAGACATACTCGGTATGTAAGCTCCTCCTGCTGTGCACGATCCCATCACAACGGAAATCTGAGGTATTCCATCCGCTGACATATTGGCTTGGTTATAAAAAATTCTGCCAAAGTGTTCTCTATCTGGAAACACATCAGCCTGGTCCGGTAAATGAGCGCCGCCCGAGTCGACAAGATAAATACACGGAAGTCGACATTCCTGTGCAATTGCTTGCGCCCGTAGATGCTTCTTCACGGTAATTGGAAAGTATGTTCCGGCTTTAACTGTCGCGTCATTCGCGACGATCATACAATCGCGACCCTGAACTTTGCCAATAGCTGTGACTATTCCCGCGCTCGGAACCTGGCCTTTGTACAAGCCGTCTGCGGCTAACGTGCTTAGTTCTAAGACATCACTCCCTTCGTCCACTAACCGGTTAATCCTGTCGCGTACAAGCAATTTTCCTCTCGCCGTGTGCCTTTTTATCGCCTCATCGGGTCCGCCTTTGACAGCAACGTTTGTTTTTTGACGAAGTTCCTCAACAAGTTCGTCCATTCTATCCTTATTTTCTTGGTAGTAGGGGTCATTTTTATTCGGCTCGCTACCTATAACTGTAGCGCCGTGATATTGCCGATTTTGGTTCTTTAATCGCCGTATACCCCTGAGTAGTTTGAGCATTTTCTCGTTGTGAATTGTAATTATTATACACGACCGGTTGACAAGTTGTTGGCCCGCTACTGACGATAATAAGTACCGTTATCACACTGATTAAATCGTACAAAAACAAATTCGTCGCTCGGGTCGCGGACTTGATAAAAACGCGCATAATGAATGATAATGCCTGCTATTGTTAATAAAATTTATGTAATATTTACGGTCACGACTTGGTCTCCGTTAGGTAATTTAATGGAGTTAAAGAGGTTCGATTAGTAGCAATGAGGTAAATGTATAAATATGTATTTATCATGCGTGATTATAGCTATAATGGTCCTTTTTGTATTCACAACAAATATGTTCATTCACAATAGCCATCAATGACCTACATAAGTCGCCAATGATGTAATGACTATTTTGACCAACGTAAAGAATAATACCTTGAATGGTACTCTCGAGAATAAGTAACCGATCCGTTACGTCACTTTACTTATCATCGCGTCATAACCTCACCCATTTAATTGATTAAATTCATTGATTATATAATTAATATATATGAACCAGACAGTTAATTACTCATTACTCTTCTGTTCTTGATGTAAAGCTTCATATGGGTCGTTGCTCCACGACATTCTTTAGCGTACAAAGTATATGGAAAAGATGGCATAATTATTAAAGAAATTAAAATGTAAACAAGTTATTTAATCATTTCATATGACCTCTTTGATGACCGCTATTGAATCTTTAAAAGTATGCCTCATAAGTAAGCACATGTTTTGTGTTGAAAGATTTAAGTAAACATTATCGATGTATAGTAGTAGTAGTACCGAGTAGCAACTGACACTATTATGACCGGACAAGAAAATTATTATTTTCGCTTTAATTTTTTCATAAATTGTCTTTGAAGCTTCTGAATTATTTAAAAAGAATTGCAAAGACTTTCTTGTCAGTTAATGTAAATTTAGTCATATAATTTTTTATTGACGATAAGTCTACTTTATAAATTGTATTTACGTACCTTTATAAATTGTATTTAATTGATTAATGCGAGTATTCATTAATGGCTCCACTGCTTCTATGACATAAACTGACAATTTGCGTAAATTGTTGCAATGTAGTAAACTTTCACGTCTTTTCATGGTCAATTTACTCCGAAGGAAATTATGCTTAGGTATAGAGAGTGGAATTTTTATTACCACCTGAAGGCGGACTGTAGTGTTATACGGTAAATAGCCGTGCAGTTAAAACGAACATTTCATCTGAAATGTCAAATTCGGTGCTCTTAAAATTGTACTTTCGCGGCAAGTTCGCGCGATTCTAGCGCTTTGATCGTGCTAATCTTAAAAAATAAAAGACTGTAAAAGCGAAGAAACTTACGATTTATTGTAATCGATGATAGCAAATTGAGTTACCTTTAGTTTTAGATAAAGAAAACTGCATTAAATTATTGCATACATTTTTCTTTACTTAAAATTGGTAATCTGTACATTTATTGCGTCCATAGCATAGTTATACGTTCAGACCAAATTTTCTTAGTTGGTCAAAATTAGTAATTTATTAAAATAATTCAGTAAATTATACATTTATTTTGATTGACTAAAAAAAGTAATTTTAACATTAAAACTGAATTTAAAAAAGTTGTTAAATGCATTTTACCAGTAAATTTAACTGGTAAACCGCAAGCTTTTGGGATCTAAACAAGCTACAAAAATCACTGCTATTCATAGTGAAAGAACTTATGAATAAAAATACATTTTAATTCTGTATCATTAAAAATAATGTTCCTCATTTAACATATATAATTCCAATCACATGTTCATGCCCAAAAACGGAACTTACGGTCTCATTAAATTTCACTTTTATCATTCAAGGAAATCAAAGTTAAAATCAGTGCAGATTATACAAATTTCACATGGTTTAGGAAGTACAATTGCTTGGGAGTTAGGACAAAATACTGCGCCCATTATTGTTGCGGCTTTTCACACGCAATCTCTTTCTTGTGTCATCAATCAAGACACGCATTTCGTAAACATAGAAAGTTAAATTAAAAAGTGTATTATGGCTATAAATCTCAACAGGAGTCCTAGCGATAATTAAAACCGATTAAACGCGACATAACTGTCTCGTGCTGAGTGCTGACCGTAGAAACGAGTAATGGAATTAAAGGTATAAATATTATGGTGATATTAATAATCGACCTCTATGGGCTCTCCATTTCTCTCTATGCTAAGTTTTTTGCCGCGCTCCATTATGTGGAGCCAGCTGCCCGACTTAGGGTGACTTAGGGTCCGTCAAAGAAAGAGCGTACCAATTCTTAAATGGTCGGCAAAACACTCGCGAGCCCTCTGGCATTGAGAGTGTCTATGTCACTTAACTTCATGTACTCCCGTTTGTCCCCTGTTCTATAAAAAAAAGTTTCTAATGTGTCGAGTTTTGGATATTAGACATGTCGGTTCACGATGTTTTCCTTGTCTGAACGAGGTGGTAGTAAGGAAAATCTATTTGTCTACAACTGGACTTTGCTTAAATATAATAGAACAAAATATAACTTTAATTATATTTTTACAGGATCGAGATGAACAGACAAAGCTTGAAATGAAACACAGACAGGAAGAAGACGACTTATATAGAAAATTCTCAAAACACAGAGAAGAAGAGAATAGAAGAATTCGAGAGGAGATACAGGTAAAGAATGGTTTTCAATAATATATGTTATGTAATGACTTGAAGCCGGAATCTTGCCCGATTTAAAGAGAATATAGAATATTAAATATATAAAATATTCTTCCAGGATGAGTGGGAGAGAGAGCTAGAACGATTGACGAACAGATTTCAGCAAGAGATGCAGATAAAGAAAAGAAGACCTGATTCAGAATTGGGTGCGTTAACGTTACGGCATCAACAGGAAAGAGCAGATCTAGAGAAGAATATGACTTTAAGAAGAGATAAGAAAAAAGAGAGTCTGACTAGGAAGATGTTGGAACATGAAAGGTAAAATATTTATACCTTTAGATAATAAAAAAAAGTGCGTGCGTACAAAGTACATATGTCAGAAGTGAAACTTACTACTACAAACTAATTTTAAAGTCTTGTTCATATAATTTATACAAATCTAAAACTTTAGATTTCCGAGACTTAGAAGAAGGGAAAAAGGAAGATATGTTAGGAATTTAATGAATTTAATTGTCACTAAAATATTAAGTGTCGAAAATTAAAACAAATTATAAATTTATTTCTTCGATTATAAAAACACGTGGCATTTTAATTTTTAATTTTTCATAAATTTTCTTTACGAGATATTAATTTAAAAAATAGAATTTCTATAAAATAATTCGCCCTTCTCTCTCTCTCTCAGCGAGAAAAACGCTGCACATCTTCGTGACGTTTCCGTAAAAATTTACCCTCATTCACTGCAAAAATTTAAAAAGTTTATTTGTGTTTAAATTCATGGATGGATCTGATTGTAAAATACGTTTAATGCATTAATAATGTAATAAATTATTTATGTATACGTATAGCTAAAAGCACTAAATTGGTTCAAATAGCGTTCGGGGAAAATATTCGTAATCTCCAGTCTTATATATATATAATTTTAATAAAAAAAAACTGGAGACTATATAGTCTTATATATATATAGTCTCCAGTTTTTTTTTATTAACACTTCTTTGGATTAGTAGCAAAATTAAAATAAGGAAACTTAAATGATTATGAAAGCAACGCATGGACAAGCGATCTCCAGACAACCCTAGTAGGAACAAATAATAATTATCGTAGTGAAAATGAAATTATAAATTTCAGAGCTGCGACGGCTGCGTTAGTAGAAAAGCAGAGTCACGAAATGATGGAGCTGATACAGGAGCGAAGGTCTGAATACATGGCAGAATCCTCTCTATACCTCGACGGAGAAGAAGCACCACCCTACCCTGCTAGGGCTCCTCCACCTCAACCACCTTTAGTCTCTAAGTTCCACATATACACAGACCCTATGGAGTTTTCAGATGTCGATAAAATTGCAATTTCCGTAAGTATATATGATAAATATATAATTTTATTATGTATCTATAAAAATGAGTGAATAAAATGTAGCTACTCATTAGCTGAAAATGCCTTTCCGTAGCAAACATCAGTAGATAATATATTATTCAATAAAATATGAATATAACTTAAAAAATAATAATAAAGTATGGCAACACAGCGAGGAAATGCTGCCTGCGTTAAAGGTTCTACTGTATGTTTGATTAGGTTTTAATAAACGATATAATACATTCAATAATTAAAATCAAACATACAGCCTAAAATTTGTAATTTTTTTTATTACATTCTTTTTCATTTTATTTGAATTGAAAATATCAGTACTAATATTTCTCATTTCTTGTCATAATCGTTAGTAAGTAATACCGTTGATTCTCAATTTTCAGGTGGCTCAAGAAGATCAAAAGACATTCACGGATCTAGTCCGGCAGTTGGTTGGAAGGTGTGCGACGGATGTGGAAAAGGCGCGAACAATCTTCCGTTGGATAACTGTCAAAAATCTCAACAACATACAGTTTGATGACAACCTCCGTGGAGATTCACCGTTGGGCCTGCTACGAGGCATCAAACACGGCACAGAGAGTTACCATGTCCTCTTCAAGAGGCTTTGCAGGTAATTTAATACCGCTAGATCCACAGAACATTCAGACCATTGATCAAACATTTTGAATCTGTGGGACTATATTTTCTCTATGATAAGTTACATAGATAACGTATTAAGTAGACTAGATAATTGTAAGGAGACATTTAACTTGTGAGAATGTGGGCGCTTCATATTTAATCACCTTCCTAGAAACTTCTACACTAAACTTCTATAACTATAGATCACTGCTGGTAATGATTTCAAGGGAAGGGTGAATTTTTAAAGGCAATGTGCCTTTATAGCGTCGGAGAGTATTTAGATCATAGGATAATAAGAACAGTTATAATTAACTGTTCTTATTATTATGATAATTAATATGACATTTGTATGTCTATATTATGTATATGTGTTGTCTTTTTTATCTGACTATTATATTAATATTTAACTGAACACTCTGAATGTACCACTTATTTTGCAAATAAATGATTTATTTAAGACTGATAAATTTCTACAAATTCAATCGCTATAATTTATTTCATATAACACTAGTAAATATAAAAAGATAAATTGAAAAAGAAATAATTTTCTATAAACTACAAATAACGAACTTTTCATCTTCAGCTACGCCGGTCTCCATTGTGTAGTTATAAAAGGCTACAGCAAGTCAGCCGGGTACCAGCCAGGCGTGCGCTTTGAAGACAACCGCTTCAGAAATTCCTGGAACGCGGTGTATGTGGCAGGAGCCTGGAGATTCGTGCAGTGCAACTGGGGTGCGAGACATCTCGTCAATGCTAAGGATGCACCTAAACCTGGCAATAGAGGGAAGAGTGATAGTTTGAGGTGAGTTTGTCTTTTTATTACAAAGTCGTCTAACATCGTCAATGTTCATACATTATCGAATTACGTGGTACGAAAACTTGCTTCTGAATTACTATTTAAATTAAGGAGTAAGCCTACTAGAGCAGGTATATTATTTGTATTTGAGAGACTGGGGCAGCGAGTGCCAAATAATCACATTTGGAATGGTAAGCGTTGCTAGCAGTTCCGCGAGCGCGTACAAATATACTTAGGGAAGCACCATTTCCGCGCGTCTTGCTCAATGCTATTGCATGTTAGACTGAACTATTTAATTGTAAGTATGGATATGGATGTTTGTTAGTCTTTCACGAATAAACTACTGCATGGATTTTAATGAAAATTTACAATATCCAATTTTAGGTAGAAAATAAGGTAATATATTTTTACAATAACCGTTTTATAGGTACGAATATGACGATCATTACTTCCTAACGGACCCACGAGAGTTCATCTACGAGTTTTACCCGCTGCAGCCGGACTGGCAGTTGCTGAAGACACCCATCACTCTTCACGACTTTGAGGAGCTGCCCTTCGTCAGGTCTTTGTTCTTCAGATATGGACTCTACTTTAGCGATCCTAACACTAAAGCTGTTATGTTTACGGACTCCACTGGTAAGTTAAAATTCCGTTTAAAAAGAAAAGAAGTCAGATTTAAATATATAAAATAATCTGTGAGTATAAGAGACTCCTTAATTTTTATTTATGACTCGAATTGTAGTACACACAGGCATTTTATTTGGCTGATTAAGATAACTCTTTTTTTTTTAAATATAAATTGTCTCTGCATAAAGACACAATTCAACATTACGATCTAGCCTAACTCAAGACTAAGAATAATAAGTATGTAATTTAAAACTATCCTAATTTACTAAATATTAACATAAGAAAGTGTGTAATAACACTACTTACAGTATATATTAAAGGAAAGACTCTGTTCTTATGTACTGAAACTAAAAATTATGAATTAACAAAACACATTTGAATAAAAGAAAAACCAATGACGGATTATTAACTACAAGAATGTATGTGTTCCAATCAGGCGCATCAATCTTTTATTCAACCAATGACAATCACTCGAAACGTGCTAGACATCTTTTGGTATTTCTATTTATTACAAACACTTCTTTATACAGGTGCGGCGACTATGCGCATAGCCATGCCGGCACACATGCAGAGCTCACTGATCTTCCACTACAACCTCAAGTTCTACGACACTGAGGGAGACGGCTTCGATGGAGTTAGTCTTAAGAGATTTGTCATGCAGGTACATATGAATAAAGTTACTCACTATAAACTTATAAAATTCCTTCCATGGCTCAAAATGAGTTTTACAAAGGAATAGCGGAAAGAGACTTGTTGTTGAGAATTTTATCCATCTGAATACGTGTTATTTTGTGTTTAATTTATTGTGCGTTTCGTAATTTTTTTATATTCTTGGCATAGTGTGCTGTAAAATATATTTTTAAATTCCATATTTATTAATCTAGTTTTGTGTCGTTTATTTTTATTGTATTATTTATTTTCTTATTGTAATATTTCCCTTTAAATTTTGTGCACACTTGTCATTGTCACATTCATGTATTGTGTCTTTTTTATGTCGTGTGTACTCTGTGTTTGTTAGCGTGTGGGTTAGTGTGCCTTTTTAAAATAAATAATTTAACATTTAGTACTTTTAGTCTGTAGTGGGTAACATCGTGTCCTTCCGTGTGCACGCACCCTGCAGCGGAGCTTTTTTGCTGGACATCTTCGCAAACGCTGTCACTCCTCGAGAATACCTTACAGGGGAACCTATGAAGTTCAAGAGCGTCTGCAAATTTAAGGTAATTGTACCATGGGCCAAATAAATGTATTTACAGAAATAGGTAGTAGCCTTCTATTTGTGTCAACCAATTATAACAATTTTCAAGTAGAGGTTAATGTTTCGACCTAAAAGGCTTAGTGACTAACATCCGTTCAGAACGGATAAATCTATATCATAAAAAACTATGTTTACTTTACAATTCAATGAAATCTGTGGAGCACACTAAGTTATTTTTTTTATAGAACGGGGCAAACGAGCAGATACCCCCGTCTATGGACACTCAATGCCAGAAGGCTCGCGAGTGCGTTGCCGGCCTTTTAATCTTATCGCGGTTTATATTAATATTTTGCAATATTATTAATTGCGACGCTAACTCAATAAACGCAATAACTAAAATGATGTATGAATAAAAAATCATATATTAAAATTAAATAAATGCGTTAGTACATTGTTATTATTCAATAATGTAATAAATAACTTTAGGAAAATAGTTATAAAATAAAATGTTCAACGCAGATATGCTGTGCAGAGCTGCAGACAGTTATGGTACCGCTACCAGATTGCGCGAGCGGTGAGTGGGGCCCTACAAAGGCTACTAGGCTTTTTGGACTCGTCCCTATAACGCACCAGGTAATTGGTTATGAAGTACTTTAAAGATTTAAGACTTGTTTAAAAAATTGGTATATTCTGTGTTAAAACAGTTTAATTAGTATTGTCTTTGATTAACATAACTTTTATTCATTTAATAAAACACTATTTTGACCGGATTGAAGTTATGTATTATTATAAATTTACAACTATTTAACATAATTTTAAATTTATCCGACGTTTCGCGTGCTTTACAGCGTGCGTGGTCACGGTGACTGAAGACAAAAGATGTTGAATGTCAAAAAGTATCACAGTTGCAGAGAAAGTTGCATTATCTGTATTTATTTCCCCTGGAGTTGGTATCGACTAAAAGATGGAGGGTTTTGGCAAAAATGGCTTACGGTGTCCTCTATTTTCGCGGATTGTGTTTCTTTTTGAGATTTTAATTTGGAAATTATTGGATCCCAGGTGTTGGACAATTTTAGGCCGTCTTCTCTATTGAAATTGGGGTGTTTTTTGATTTCAATGGCTTCGCGTACCAATCTTGGAAAGAATCTTTTCTCTTTCGCAAGTACTTTCGGTTGGTCAAAGCGTATGTAGTGATTAGGCCTATCTAGTATGTGTTCACAGACTGCTGATTTTGTGTGTCGTCTATGTCTTATGTCTGCAATGTGTTCTTTGAGTCTGCTGGACATATTGCGTTTAGTTTGCCCTATGTAAGACAGGCCACAGTCGCAATCCAGTTTGTATATACCTGCATCTTGCAATGGGGTGTTACTTTTGATTGGTCTTAGGAATTGCTGAATCTTCTTGTGCGGCTTGAAAATTGTATGAATAGAAGCTCGTTTTAGGATCCGGCTAATTCTATCTGTAACTCCCTTTACATATGGCAAGTAGGCTGGCTGGCGGGGAACTGTTTGTGTCTTGTTTTTGTTTTTGTGATGCAGCCGGGGGATGCGCAACTTGTTTCGGTGTAGCACCTGTTTGACATGCTGTAGTTCCTCCTCGAGGTGGGCATCATCACAAAGACGTTGGGCTCTCTGAAACAAACATTTACCGACAGAAAGCAGTTGTGAAGGGTGGTGGTGGGATTCACGATTGAGGTACCTATCTGTGTGGGTTGCCTTCCTGTGTATTGTGTGACCTAATAGTTGTAAATTTATAATAATACATAACTTCAATCCGGTCAAAACAGTTTAATTAGATTTAGTTTTCTTCAATTAAAAACAATAAATATTTTTTTTGCTGTTTATGTCAATCCAATAGATATGTTGCTCCAGTGGCTTTCACATATTATGACTATCTAAGCACATTTAACACACGCCCATACAGTGCAGAAAAACAACCGGGCATACCTTAGGCACAGAAGATTGATCACCTATCAGAAAACCACAAGCCTAAAGATTTTAATGCCACTGGTTATTTTTCATAGATGTATATGGCTATAGTTAAGTGTTTTGAATATCAACAGGAAGCATTAGTATTTGCGGGGCGAGAACTAGAGATACAATTCCGCATGTCGCGCCCTCTAGCGGACTTCATGGCGACCTTACACAAGAACGGAGTTGATGAGAAGCGTCTCTCAAAGTATGTCCACCAGAACGCGTCTGATGACATCGTGTCCTTCTATATTACTTTCCCGGAAGAAGGTGAGCAATTACCATGGAACAACATAACATACTCTGTAGTCATGCGTTCGAATCCCGGCTATGCCTTTTTATTTTAAATTATTAACTTCTAACATTAAACGATGGCGCGTGATGCACAAAGACATCTTATTACTCTTAAGATAAATTATCAAGAAAACTGAGCAAAAATCTTTTAGGGGTCTTTTTTGGGTTCACACATATGAACCGCATCATCGAGCAGTATAATATACAAAAAAAAATTATGGGCCTTGAAACTTAAATCTTCTTTCAAGATTTGTCAAACTATTTGTTCTGGAGTCGAGTTTTAGAATACGTTTGGTAGAATCTTTATTTGGACGAAAAGTTATTTTTCTGCCGTGAGATAGACGTTGCTGTAATGCCAAATCCTTTATATTATACTGACCCCACTATTTCGTCATTATAGTTCGACAGTATCTTGATTAAGTAAAAAGTATATTTTTGTGAATAAATGAAATGACGCGTAATTGGCATAAGCGCCGATTCTGTTTACCCACAGACTCTATGACAAGACCAAAATGTATAAATCTTGTACAGCCTATCCTGAACCCTTTGGTTAATAATAAAACATGATTCACAGGTCAATATGGCTTGGATATCTACACCCGCGAGCGAAATGGTCCAACGGCGATACATCAAAACGGTTCAACAGAAAAAGAGAAACACTTGCTGACACATTGTTGTAAATACCTCATTAATAGCAGCAAACGGAATTAGTATAACGTTCTTGTATCTTGTAGAAGCTGGCTCTCATATATACTACACCATTGTAGGCCTTAAGTGTATTACGTTATGGTTCATAATTAAATAGCCGACCACATATTGATGTGATAGTGAAATATCATTATAAAAGGCGTTAGTATTTAAAACAATACAGCGCCACCTATTGAGGATTTTTTAAACTAAAGCCTTTTGGTAATCATTAGTATCGATGCATTAAACTGGTTAACAGTGAGCTAACATTGCAATAATATTATATACCTAATAAGTTATTAATAGGAGTTATTAAGAAATATATCCAAATGTAGATAAATAAAACAACCCGTCCTTAAGAGATTCCATTTATTAACATAAATTGTAAATTTAATCTAGGTTGTGCTTAGGCAATTGAATTGCTAAATTAGGCTTAAATAACCGATTTCCAATAATAACTTACGCATACAAAATCTGTAAGTTATTAATTGAAACCGGTATACGTCCGTAGTTTAAGTACTATAAAAATATATCAATTTTAAAAATTTAATCTAAAAGAATGTTTGGCAAAACTAAGTTTATATTGAGTATAATTTTTAACGCCACCGGTTGGGAAAGTGTTCCAAATGCATTCCAATATAGCAAAATTTTCTCACATAAAATTAAATGATTTTGGAAAATATTAGATTACTATTTTTCTATTAAAATAATATAAGACTTCAAGCATTTCTAATTCAATTTACACATAATTCACAGAATTTTCGTATTTGAAAAGAAGAGATCGCTGTTTTCCAAAAGAATTTAAAGCGGTAAAAAATCAAATATCACGCGGATTCACTTCCCCTTCCGGTGGTGATTAATTTCTTTTACGCTGTATATATTTTTTTTATTTAAAAGACACGCACATTTTATACTTATAGGTTGACCAAACGCTTAACCTTAATAATATATTTTAATATAACTTATATGTGAATGTAAATTTTTACAAATTATATGGCATGTTACTTTTATAAATGTGTTTTTTTCTTCTAATTAAAGCTTATATTATTGAGCACCAATGGACGGCAAATGAAAAAATAATAGGTGGGTATGCACAACAAAAAAAATGTGGGGTATTTACAAAAACGAACCACTTCGAGGGTAGATACAGAATTTGAGTAACCGATACAGGTAGCTATGCTATAATTAAGAATCGTAAGCGATTCTTCTATCGTCATTTAGCTGTCACTTATAAAAACTTAAGGAATCTCAAATTGTTGTTGAGATCAAAGAAATCAGATCTACGTTCATCTAATTCGTTGATAATTTAAACTTACATTTTAAACATATAAAGAAAAAATTGCCCATTTACATACTATGTATAAGTAGGTCCAGCCATTAAAATAAGAAAAGTCTTTAAATTAATGTAGTTCATCTTAAAATTATAAGTTCATTTAATTGATATAATGCGTAAAAAACACTCACAATATATTTTGGAATGTCAAAATATCACATAATTGTTGTCATACATAAATAATAGTTCAGTCACTTGTACAAAGAATCTAAGGGAAAAATTCTGAAACGAAGACTTAGCGCGAACTATGAATTCCGTATTTCAACATCCAATACGCTTTTGTCACTCAGCTAAATCCCGTTTCTGAATATCACCTTAAGTTGTCATAATCTCAACACAGTCTTTACTTTACTCTGAAAAGTCCAAGTAAATTTCATTTTAAAACTGTCAAAAACAAGTATCAATTTCTACAGCTCTCAAGGTCCGAAAATGGACGTCTAAATTAATTCCTCCTGTATTCGGACCTAATTTTACGAACATAGAGCAATTATTGGTTTATACTTCTAGTCACTTATTTGTTACTCTATGTTTATGATGAAAAACATTGTTGTTACTCTATGTTTATGATGAAAAACATTGTTGTTACTCTATGTTTATGATGAAAAACATTGTTGTTACTCTATGTTTATGATGAAAAACATTGTTGTTACTCTATGTTTATGATGAAAAACATTGTTGTTACTCTATGTTTTGTTATATGCCTTATGAACCTTAATTCATTAATTCTCCAGACACATATAAACGTATATACGTCGTAAAATTTGTCACAATATTTAATTATTAAATGAGTTTTTTTTAATTACACAAAATTAAATTTTAGACATTAAACATTTATAGGTTTACACCATCCCTTTGGAATTAAAGGTTGCTCTTTGTTCAACTCCTCGAATCAAAGTTCCGAGTAATCCTTCCATTTCTGTCGCCGTCTCCCTTAACTGACTATTGTCAAAGCAAGATTCTGAAAATAATATTAATTTTTTTTATTTATATATTCGCGCCTTTGTCCCAAAGAGGCAGGCAGAGACCACGGATCTCCATGCTTTATTCACTTTCACGACAATTACCATGCTTATGGGTTATGAATTTTAACTTCTCTAGTTTAGTCTACATGGCCAAACCACGAAGGCATTCCCTATCGTATCCTTTGGTAAAAGTTTAAACGTCGGTGTGATTGTTTGATCTTCGGATTTCATAATTCCCTAACAGTATATTTTTCCACCATCATGCAAAATGTGTGCTGTCAAAATTCTCTGACAGCTCAAGCAAAAAAAAAATTTAACTAACAAAATTTGATCATTTCACTTATTTCTCTCTATTAAATTAATTATCTTCTTTCTCTTAATTTTTTTTTAGTTCAAACTCTTTTAACCCCAACTGAGTATTATCGTTTTAACAAAACAAATCTGTTACTATGTATTAACTATTACAAAAAAAAATCAAAAGATTTATAGCTAGTAACCAACTCTTAGGTCCATATTTAAATTAAATGTATTAAATCAGTTTTCAGTTTGACGTTTGACATTTGACAGCGCTCAAGACGAGACTGTAAAAGTTGAGATACGAATTAGAATATGGACCTTAATCAAATAAAAATCAAATGGTGGCAATCAGAGATAACTAGAGAAACAGGCATACATACACTACAAACTTAAACATTGTTGTTTATTTAATTTAAATTAAATATCTTTAGATATAACTTACCATCTACAGTAAAATTATGAGTCAAAATCTGTTGTAATCTATCCAACACTGTGTCAAGGTCAGCGTTCAACTCTTTCATCTTGTCATTGCTCTGTTCGACTGAACGCATGTCCGCCGAAAACCGCTGTTCATTTATTGATAAGTTTTGACACGTTTGGTTGAGACCTTTCATTGGGCGCTTTGATACAACTGTGTCTGGAAATTATCAGTAAAGAAAAATTGATTGACGTTATTTAATTGTAGTTTATACAGCAATTGTCAATAAGGGTTGTTTAAACATGTCGACAAGGCAATGGATTTTAATAGGTATTTGTTATGTTTTATACTGTTTATATCTAAAATATGCCACAGCCCACAGGACCCGCCAGGCCTCTTTCAAAGCAAAATTTAAAAAAAAACCCTGTTTATTAAACAAAAAAAAACTTGAAAAAATATATTTGTCCACGATCGTGTAGTTCAAGCAAAATATTGGATATTGAAGATACATTATGGAAAAAAAAAGATCATTTCCTATATATTAATTTAGTAGTATGTAATAAATACTTCAATATTTTTTTACAGTAGGTTAAAAAGGGGCCTCCCTAATACAGCCCAGTAATACATAATTATAATAATAAAAGATTAATTATTTTAGATCTAAACTTCCATATTGTTAAATTTTAAGCTTAAATTCAATGTTAGTGGAGTTTTAGTGCCCTGAAACATTTATGATCAAGAAATAGCAATACATACTCCTTGGATATAAACTTTCTGAAATTTACTTTGCTCTGTATCATAATGAAGAGTTAGTTTTTTTTATAACACTACGTTAAAATACGAAAAATTATTAACAAATTGATCTTTGCAATTTAATAGAAATGGAATGAAATTAATATTTCATACAATATCAAGTAACCCAGCAGTATTCAATCGGTTAATTTTCGAAAAACAACGACAAATTATAAGTTAAATCAACTTCATATTCTACTTTTTAATACTTTAAAATTGTTAGTTAAAATTATCAGTAATTTAAGGTGTTGTCAATACTTTACTTACCATTATACCAATTACTCATGTCATTCATAGAAACCGCTGATATACTGTCCGATGTGACTTGGACCACAGGTTTCAATGCATCTCTGGACATTGTAACTTGATCATGCTTCGAAGCCACTGAGAAGTTTCCAGAATCCATACTTAAAACTCGGGGCTGGTTAAGGTTGGTTAACTTGGCCTGCTTTTCATCAATTGGTATAGGGCTGAAGAGGTCAAATGCTTGCGGTCGGTCCAATTTGTCAGTATTCTGTTCCAAAGTTAGGTTGTCCTGGAATGGGATGTTTTTGTTAAGCAAATTAAAAAAAGGAAGTCAAAACAGTGTACAATATTTTCTTAGTAATTGAAATTGATGGGTTTGAACTTTTTAACATTCACAATTTTTTCAATAAAAAATTTAAAAAAAAAAAACCTTTCTCATGCTCTTTTTTTATAAAATAAAGAATCCAGAATCACTTATAGTTGAAATCATTGTTTATGTTAATTAAGAAAAAAAAGTGTGTGTACTTATGTACACGCGTTAGAAGTTATACTTCTTTGCCGTAACAAAATAAAAATCTTTTCAAAATTCTAAGTTTGTACAAAAAACCACACTAACAATATATTGAAAGTTTTTTTATTATTCCGCATTATCTAGTTAAATAAAGTTTATTTAAATATCACAAAAAAAATAATTCAACATAATTAAAGAAATGGACTGTTTTTATTTTAAAATGTTGACTATGCTGACTTCAGGGTGTCGGTTTTTTTTTGTCGGCGCGCATCGTAAAAATTTACTGCCATCATATTTTCCTAACGCGCCAAAAGAAGTAGGTATAACTTTAATAAAATATCAAATTTCTCATATGTTTTTTCCCTTCATTATTTGTAACTGAAAATAATCCCTAGGTTCCAAATAAAGCAAGCTAAGTTAATCAGTCATAATTATTGTTATAAAAATATTATTCTTAATAAAAATTAGGTTTAAATAAGTTACCTTTAACTCTTTAAGCCTACTAATCTGTGCTGATATTTGATTATAATGCGTGTCCACTTTTGATTTAAATTCGTCATCACATTCCTTGGCAACTTCTTTTAATTGACAGGAGATCTCTTTGAGGGCTCTGAAATGGTAAACAATAATGGTCAACTATCCTGACATATATTAATCTAACATATTTTTTTTTACAACCACTAAGCATGTTTTTTGACAAATAATAGATCAACAGTAGAGGAAAAATAATTAGTATTTTTTGTTTTTAATTTTACGGAAGTTTTAAAGATGTTTAGGTTGAATACAAATTTCCGCCTGTGTTTTTATCAGTTTGTTTGAAATACTTCGTAGTTGTTAAGCATTGTTAAAGAGGAGAAGAGGAAGAGGTAAGTACTGTATATTAAGTTGTATTCCTACCTAGTCTGATTTTCCAATTGTGAAATTATGTCTTGCAATGTATTTGCTGGATTATTTGCAGTATTGCCCGAAGCTTTACCAACCGTTGATGTAAATATGGCCGGTTTGCTCTTCCTCCGAACTGAGGCTTGTCTTACTTTTTCAGTCTTTTTTGTACCTTTTGCCTTCTTCTTACCAGTCTTTGTACAGAAGAAGAAACGTTTTATGCCCTTTATAAAACTAAGGCATTCTGTGGGTTTAATCTAAAAGACGTATAGTAAAAAATATTTTAAATGTATATTACAAGTAAGCATAATTAACAATACACAAAGTGTTGTTTTTGACTTCACTTTCATCATGGTAATCAAATTCATATCTAAATTTAAATATGTGTTTATATAAATTTCTTAATATAAACGCGATTTTTTTAGATAAGTCGACGAGACTTGCGGACTACGAAGAAGTGCGGCCAGGTGGGCAACGGCACCCGTGATTTTTTAAAATCTTTATGTAAATCGCCGTGATGTAGACGATATTTTATTTAATAACAAGTGAACGAAATGTTTTATCATAAATCAATTCAAATATAATTTCATTAAAAATACTAGCGGCCAAATTTTGATAGGCAACTTGGTAGATATACATTCTCCTAATTAGAAATATACATAAAAATTTGATTTTAGCAAATAACAGATGAGCGCACCGGATCTTAGACCAATACAATCATGTGTGTGTGCAATATGTGTTATACAATCATGTATAGTAATTTTTTTTTATTTGCATGCAGATTTTTCATAGATTTTATAAACCCTTGAACTCATAACAAACACATAAATGTATTCATATCTAATCATTTCTCCCTTTATTATTGACATGAATAAATTCATCTTTTTAAGGTCATACTCACTTCTCCATCATTTACTTCATACACTATATGTGTCTTCTTATGACCTGTTATATTATTTAAATCTTTGTCATACAAATAGCACTTCTCGCAGAAATATAAATCTGTGCACTTTGAGCATTTAAATTTCAGAACCTGCAAATTCAGTAGATATGTTATGATTGATGTAATGCACATCAAGTCTTAAGTTCAGGGACAATTTGAGAACCTCAGTTTCAAATAGGGATTTAAACAAATGAGAGGTACTTTGTTCATCAGTTTCATATTTATGTAAAATATTTATGTTTGAATCTATGCTTAAATATTTTTTATAAAGTGTGTGGTTATACATTTTTGACATAATTTTACCTGTATAAGTGGTTGAACACAAACAACACATGTAGCATTAGCTGTAGCACAATTCCGGCTCAACACCACTTGTTGTACAACTATTAGCCAACGAGTACTAGCACAACTGGTGGCTCCCCATTCTGCTACTAAACGGCAGCTTATTCCTAGCATTCCAGCACTCTGTAAACATGTATTTATCAACAAAAATTCTTGCAATGATTTAGTACAGTCCTATCACCAAACAGTATTTATGAAACTAACTATGTGTGAACTCTTCATTCATAATAATTAAAGCATTAGAAACCCTAATTTACACTTGATTTAAAGTCAGTTTTGAATCAAACTCACCTTACTAAAACAAGCATCGATATCAGTCTGAACTTGATCACATTTACCACCAAAATACTTAGTCAAAGCAACAACATGATGTAATAAGGCAGATAACCTTTTTGGAGATACACAACCATTGTGGTCCGCACAACAGTTAGCTAAAGCCAGCCATTTGTCCTTAACCGACTCTTCACTCAATAAAATTAATATTGTTTTAGCTGCGAGAACTCTTATTGGAGTATTTCTTTTCCTAAAACAAAAATAATTTTCTAAAAAAAAATTTTTACATAATATAATGTTATATTGTAAATGTAAGGGTGCGTACAGACTATGTAACATATTATATAACTTGTGTTTTATAACACATCCACATTATGAAACCTTGTTATCCAACATTATAACATAAAACAATACTGTACACATTAGAATAACAATGCAATATAACAATGTTATATAACCATTTTAAATAACAAAAGAAAAACAAAAAAACGTAGATGCTGGGTTCGTCCTAGCATACATATCAATAACATGTTATTATAACATGTTTTATAACATTCAGTGTCCACATTATCTGAAACATGTTGTATAGCAATTTTGTATAACATGTTATGTTATATAGTCTGTACGCACCTTTATATTCTTTTTAACATATACAGTGTAAATGTAAAAAGAACTAAATTTAAAATTTTCTTAATTGAACAGTTAAAATCTACTGTAGATTAAGATGTAGATGGAGAAAAATAAAAATGTGTATCATAATGCTATTATTGTAAAGTAATTTAATCACCTTCAAAGTTTTAAAAACTATAACAAAATTTTATAGTTGCCTCCACCATATATACCAAAAAACTTACTCATCATAAACATTTAGCAGTAGATTAATAACAAGATCTACAGTCAAGTCAACATCACCAACAAACAATCCTTCCTTCTCTGCTGCAAAATAAATATCAGCAAGAACTGCCTCCAATTCTGCTGTGTCTAGTGATAAACTACTCTCTGAAAGACTTAGTTGATGTCTGGCAAACACACCAGAACTAATACGAAGTGGCGGTACTAAAAAGAACATTCATGTCAGAATACAAAAGCCTGTCTTAAAGATTAAAGCGATAGTGATACGCTATACGAAATACCTTTTAGTTGTCTTTGCAGAGTAAATATTTTAAATGCTACTTTATACGCACTATACTTTATATCTTCATATTCATCAAGTAAACAAACGATTTTGTTAAACGTTGGATGATTGAACTCCTTTTCACCACTGATTTCCCTAAAAGTAAAAAGTTCAATATTATTTACCGAAAAAAACTATAGAACCGACCTAAAGGGAAAGCTGCTTGCGTACTCAATGTAGCACGGATATCCATCTTCATTTTCTACCTTGCGCCAGTTTTTGGAACCCATTTTAATACTTTTACACTAATTGCATGTCCTGGTTTAATTTGAATTGAATCAACAAAAAAAAAATAGATTGAAAACTCCTATTCCTATAACCGTCTTTAATTATTCAAAAAAGTTTTAGAAAAAGTTGAAGTCCTTGGATTTGGCAATTGACAACATTTATAACTGAATATATTGCAATATAATATGGTTATTTTTAAAATAATAAAACAGTAGTTGATAGTTAAACAAGTAAAAAAAAATAAGTGTAGAAGACAAATATAATATAATAATCACTATATATTTTTATAACTGTTATAATTATTTAATGTCTATGCATTGAATTTACTTTCTTTATGCCTGCTTCTAACATCAACTTTTCGTAGAATGGAATGAACCAAAAAATAAGTCTGTCTCGTCTACAAGCTTGTGTATCGCAAATGAAAACAACCAATCATAAAGCGGCTATCCTTGTTTACATCATATTTCGTCCAATCAGAAGTTACATTAATAGTCTGTTTCTCGCATCATTTTACCTGTGTAAGAGAGACGCCATTTTGCAAGCGTCATTTGGCGGCGTGTTGGGTTTGGTGTTTAACGCTAATTTCATTAAAACTAAATAAAAATAGTGCATTCTTATCAATTAAAATGTCATATCAGTCGAGTGTAGCGCAAGACTCGCTGGCTGCAGCACAGTTAGAGATGGCCGGTAACCCTAATACTTTGGCGCTTCGTCGACCATTCGACCCTGTAGCTCACGACTTGGAAGCAAGTTTTCGACTTACAAGATTCGCCGATCTCAAGGGAAGAAGTTGTAAAGTACCGCAAGATGTATTGTCTAAACTTGTCGAGTCACTGCAGCAAGACTATTCCCAACAAGATGACCAATTTATGCATGTGGCGATTCCACGCATTGGAATTGGTTTGGATTGCTCAGTTACTCCGCTCCGCCACGGAGGATTGTGTTTGGTTCAAACTACAGACTTCTTTTATCCATTAGTTGACGACCCCTACATGATGGGGAAAATAGCTTGTGCCAATGTCCTTAGTGATTTGTATGCTATGGGTGTAACTGAATGTGACAATATGTTAATGCTATTGGGTGTCTCTACTAAAATGACTGAAAAAGAGCGGGATGTTGTTATCCCTCTTATCATGCGTGGCTTCAAAGATTCTGCTTTGGAAGCAGGAACATCTGTTACTGGAGGTCAAACCGTTATCAACCCATGGTGTACTATTGGAGGGGTAGCAACCACTATCTGCCAGCCCAATGAATATATAGTACCAGACAATGCAGTCATGGGAGATGTACTTGTTCTTACTAAACCTCTTGGAACTCAAGTTGCAGTAAATGCCCACCAATGGCTAGACCAACCTGAACGTTGGAATAGAATTAAACTGGTAGTATCTGAAGAAGATGTTCGAAAAGCATATCATCGTGCAATGGATTCTATGAGCAGGCTCAATAGAATTGCTGCTCGCCTTATGCATAAGTATAATGCTCATGGATCTACCGATGTGACTGGATTTGGTTTGCTTGGTCATGCTCAAAACCTTGCTTCACACCAGAAAAATGAAGTTTCATTTGTTATTCATAACCTTCCTGTGATTGCTAAAATGGCAGCAGTTGCCAAAGCTTGTGGCAATATGTTTCAGTTGTTACAAGGCCATGCACCTGAAACTTCTGGTGGACTTCTTATCTGCTTACCAAGAGAACAGGCCGCAGCTTACTGTAAAGATATTGAGAAACAGGAAGGTTACCAAGCCTGGATAATTGGCATTGTAGAAAAGGGTAACCGCACAGCTAGAATTATTGACAAACCACGAGTGATTGAGGTTCCAGCTAAAGATTAGATTTAAGTTTTGAGACATTGAATATCATTGGAAAAAAAATAAGTACTGATTTTATGAAAAGCAATTTAAACTACTGTTACAACCAGAAATTTTATGTTTATTAGTAAAAAGTATCAAGTATACATAATATCTGTCTTAAGTTTTATTCCTAATAATGCTTTTATGTACTAGTAACTTGGTGTTTAGATTTTTAAGTAAAAAATATTATTAGAATATTAAGATGATTAAAATTTCCACTAGATACAGAGTTTTGAAGTGTTTGCAGTATAATTTTCTGCAATTTGTGGAGTAAGTATAATTTTAAAATAAAGTTATTTTCATTCTACATGTTGTTTTATTTAAAACCATGACATTGAAATTATGCAAGTGATTAATTTTTAGCGTTACAAATTTTTTTTTAGGTTTTTACCACAACCATTTTATGCTATAGTATTAAAAAGCGTAGTTTTTCTAAAACATATATTTTAAGAAATTAAAGAATGAAAATAAAATTTTCAAATTAAAATCAAGGCAAAATGTGCAGGAAGCACATAAAATATAATTTCAAAAACATTTTTATTCAAAACAAAATACTACATAATCAAATCATACATATATTATATCAATCATAAAGTTGGTATTCTAAAGTCTCTGAGTCAAATCTAATTTCAAGGTCTATCAAACCAATTCTTCATAATTATGAAAGCAGTTGAGACAAGATTGTTGGTTGGGTTATATTTCTGATTCTCAGATTTATTAAGATATAGACAAGCAATCCACCCTAGTTGCCAGGTAGTAAAAACTAACAAAAAATCCTTTTAAAATAAAACATCATGCATGTTATTGCTTAATACATAGTACATTACTGATACAGTATAAAATAATTTCTCAAGGTTTAGGTTTTTTTATAATTTACTTCATATGCTATTATTTTCTACTACTAAGTTATCTTGAAATTAACAATACATGTATTAATGTAAAGTTTAATTTAAATGTAATTATAAAATAATTGGTTCAAAGTATAACTTTAAATAGCATACTCATAAAATTTTGCATTGTGTATCTATGATGCTTAATTAATGAGAAATTAAAATTGAACACATTAGTTAGTCATGTGGAGAATTCAGCCGTGGTCTTTTACGGGGATTCCTCTCATCTCCATTTTGTTCAACACTACTCAGATCCCGTTTCTTAGGAGAAGTGTTATTATTCTGAAAAAAAAAGGCTATGTAAGGAATAATCGGTAATGTTGCCATGGGTAGTAAATATAGTGACAAGCGATAATGCTCATAAGCTGTTAGAGAGAAAGGAGATTAGTAATGATCTTTGGAATCAATAATAATAAAAATAACCCAATGGTACTACAACCATATATGGGTCTTGGCCACAGATTACATCGCTTTCTTTGGTCAGTAGGTAATCTAGTAGGCTAGGATTTTGGATTTTGAGACATACCAGTTTCTTCTCTATGCTTTTCTTTACAATATGCGTAAGTGTTAAATGTACACATACTATATTAGTGAGGCCGGGGATCAAACCTACAACCTAAGGGAAGAAATTCACACCCTGAAGCCACTAGGCCAACACTGCTATATCATCGGAATCAATTATGAATAAATAAATTAAATAACAAAGATCTATAAAATATTACCTTTTTTTCCCACTGTTGGTGTAAGTATCTTAACAATATGTTTGTTTTTTCTGTGACAATTACTGAAATAAAATGATTAAATTAAAAAAAAAATATCCAGTTATTACAAGTTGTTGAATGAATGATATTACATAGTATAACACCATACTGGAAAAACAGAATTACTCAACTTTGTTCAGAAGGAATGTCTTTTGTAGGTAGGTATATTGAAGGCCTCTTGGAACTATTTCTAATACCATTGTCAGTATTAAACAACGTAAAATTTTGTTCGTTGTAAGATGGGAGGTCCTTTAAGAATTCCAAAACCGACTGAAATAGAGATGGTAACCATTAATGTGTCAATTTCTACACATTGCTATGGAGCATAATTAGAAGCACTTAATTTATTAAAACAATACTTACCATTTTATATGCTATTTGTGTTGTCTTGGCTAAGCTAATACAGTTTTTCGTACAAAACTTTGTATTTGGAAATATTATGTTCAATTTACGCTTTAAATTATTCAATATTTTCAGAGACAGTTTTAGTTGACAGATCACAGAAGTATGTAATAGTAAAATGTAAATGAGTAACTACTAGAAAAAAACTCACATTTTACGAGTTAAAGTTATAACTGACAGTGAGAACTACATAACTAATCAAAAAGGTGACAGCTGACACTAACTTAGATAAAGTAGTTATAATTAGTAACTTCTTTTATTTTGTTACAAGTTAACAACAAGAAATTCCTAACTGAAATATTATATATTTTTTAACATAATTCATTACTTGGCTTTTTTACCACTTTACGTATTATTTATTTTATTCGTTTGTCACTAATTCTCCCGGTTCGATTTTGATTTTATCAAACTACTTATGGAAATAATAAATTAGATCAAGTTATGCTTATTATTTTTTTTTAAATATATTATGGTAATAGTTTTAACTTTATGACAGTGCTTAGTATTTATATTAATAATATGTATTTAAGACCACAGTATATACAAAACTTTATTTAATGCCCTAGGGCCTTAGTCAAGATGCCTTAACAGTAGTGTATGTAGAAAGTCGAAAACTAAATTTGTATGGAAATGACAGTTCGTGTCGAAAAGTTTTCATACAAAATTAATTTTTGACTTTCTACATACACTACTGTTAAGGCATCTTGACTAAGGCCCCTAATCTTAAGCCTTTAATATTCTTGTTTACTTTATCTGCGTCGTGAAGAAAGAACAATTATAGAAAGGGCGGCATATAGGGGCCTCATAGCCTAGCGGTCTTATTAAGTGGCAGCTAGGTGAGGGGTACCGGGTTCGATTCCCGGTTCGAGGGCAAGTTTTAATTTAATTTAAATTTGTTCTCGGCCTTTGGGAGGGTTGTGCGGTACCGGGCGAGTGCCTTAAACCATACATGGAGAACATGGTCGAATTTCTAAAGACAAGCACAAATTATAAAAAATATATTATTATAAAAAATCCTATACTTGACGCTGGCTAAAGCACAAATCATGCCAGAGCCATTTAAAAAAAAAAAAAAAAAGGGCGGCATATATTACCGCGAAATTAGAAAAAATACAGTTGAAAAATTATTTAAATTACGTTTCTCTCGTATATGTCAAAATTACTATGTATAGTTTAATAAATTCAAACTATAACCGCACTTACAATCCAAACGGCAAGCAAAATGCTTTGTCTGACTTAAAAAGACTGCTCACATCAAGAGACATAAACGCTCAAAATAAAGCTTGTGGTTATTTGATAGAAGTTCTAAGCCGATATGACAAAAATTCCGAGGACAGAATTCATTTAGTGCAATATTTGCTCGATAATGATATAACAGTTTTCTTGTCTGAAGTAACTTGTAACTTGGATTTTAATTTGTTAAGGTAGGTGAAAGTACATTCAAATAATATATTTTTTTATTTAATCACAAATCACTAATAAAATAATAATATGTGCATTATAATTAAACAAATTTAATATAGTTGTAAATGTTTCTACGTAGGTCTGTTTTGAAATGCCTACGACTCGTCTCGTCTATGCCAAGTTTCTTTAGCGAGGACCATGCACCTCACGCGATGTCTGCTGTCTTGCGTGCTATGAACCACTTTCTTGCAACCAACCTAAACGCAGTGGAATCTTGCTTACATTTCCTTTGTGATTTATTAAATGGGTAAATGTTTTCTTTAGAATTAATAACACTGATCACCTTATCTAAATATTTAACCCTATTTATTTGTTAACTGAAAACGACCTCTTAACGATATAATTATTTCCCTTGGAATAGTTAATGTGCGAGTCCCCAAAACTATTGATCCCATTATTATAAAACTTGTAATGTTCCAAAGTTTAAATATATCTTTATATTTAATTTACCATTTACATTATAACGATACAACATAGTTTGAGAGCATTTTGTGAACGAAATATAGCAATTCCTCTTTGCCTATATGAGTAGGAGAGGATATTAGTTTGAACACATAGAGTTCGAACTAATATCTTTATATTTTTTAAGATGTCTCAAAATATATGCACATTTAAATCAATTATTTACAAGAATATCTTATAAACAATTTGACTTAATGATGATTATCGTAACAACAAAACCTTTCCGTTTAGGATTAGAGCAAACAAAACACCATCACCCCTTGCCCACCAAAGCGCTTACAGCACTGATCAATTACTCGCTTCATTCAGCACTTTAGCTACACGTATTAACGTTATAGCTGATACCAAAAGTATTTTATCGTGCGCTTTAGTGCTTCAAGAGCTGATTTCCTATCAGCCTGACGATCTTACTATACCGAGTAGTATAGCCAAGTATTTAGTAGATGTGGTAAAGAAGTGGTTGGAGTTATTATTGGCTGGGTTAAATCATATTGCGTTAGCTGGTAAAGCGGACGAACTTGGAATGCTCTTCGTCGTTACATGCCAAATAGGGATGGATTGTTTAGGGTAAGTAAAATGTAAAGAAACATTAAATTCATTTTCAAAAAAGCGCGATTGATTTTTACAAAACATAAAATATACTACCTAGATGTGATGCATTTTTAATGCGAAGTTTTCAAAACGCGTATTTTGTGAAACTCACTTTAAGGTTTAGATTTTAACCGCCTTTAATAAATCAAGAGCAATGTTCTCTAGACCGAATCATCCATCATCTTTATTGTTTACGCAAACTATTAATAAGTATACCAGAGACGCCTTAAGCTTCTTAACGTAGGTTTCTCTTCAATGTTTGTTCTAAAAAAATTGCATTCAATCTAGTATTTGATAAAATTGACTTGGAAGTAGCGTAATTTTTCACACAACACATGAAAAATTCATGGAGATCGTTTAGAATTTAGATGATGACAATACATATTACTACCATCTTCGTTGTCAGTCTCGG